TTTATTAATTAACTTTTATTACTTAAATATAAGACAAACATTTACAAACATTTATAAACATTTTGTACAGTATTTATATATTTTTAGTTCTAATACAAAATGATTTATTAGCATTTATTGTCGACCTATCAGAGCCAATAGTGCTTAATTAGCACATAAAATACAAACTAGTATATCAATTGCGGTGTAGATAAAATGCAATTATATTTTAAAATATTATAACCGTGATTAATTGTTTGTCAATTTAGTATAATAACTTGCTATATGATATTAGCTTTATTAATTATAATTAAACTGCTTACTAATTAATTATTTATAATAATTGCTTAAATATGCAATTATATTTCACAATATTATATCAGCGTGATCAATTGATTGTCAAATTAGTATAATAACTTGCTATATGATATTAGCTTTATTTATTTTATTACCAAAAAAACTGATTTTAAATTTTTGTTAAAACACTTCAAACATATCATACTATTTGATAATCACTGTAACATTGCTAATACATTACTATTTCGGGAAATCCTAAACCAAACAGTTTTGTTGCAAAGTCAGTTTAAATCAGTTTGGTTGGGATTTTTAAAACACTTATCAATACCATTTTAGGAATTCTATGTTGTGTTAGGAAGTCTGTTTTAAAATAAACAACTATTTTAATTTTAAACTAATAAAAATTAATTATAATATTTTAAATATTGCCTACTGTACTGGCAGACTGGTATATTAAATTAATTATTAATGTATATATATATATATATATATATATATATATATATATTAGTCTTGTGCAAACAATTTTAAATTTAAATACATTCAAAAATTTATTTCAAAGATTGGATTTAAGTATTAAAAAATATTCTGATGATTAAAAGATTAGATAAAAAGAAAAAAGAAATTAAAAAATTTATCATATCATGAAAATTGGTTTGATTTATATTGATGTATAAATGCTAATAAATTTTGTATTAATTAATATTTTAAATATATTTTTATTTTATGCAAAATTTTTAATAATATATATATATAATTAAAATAAAAAATAATAAAAATATAAAATAATATAATTAAAATTATGTTTATTATTTAAATAATTACAAAGTATTTTAACCTTTATTAAAAATTAAATATAATTATAAAAAATGTAAACAATAATAATTATTTTAAAATACAAAAAAATATTATATATAAATATTTATAATTATTTTTATTATTAACTAATTAATTAGATGCAATTAGTAATTATAAACAAAAAACTAATTATAATTTTTTCTATAAATATTAGAAACATTGTTAGGGGTAGGCAGGGGTAGGCAAAAATGTTAGGGGTTGGCAGGGGTAGGCGGATAAGACCCAACCATTAATATATCATTTATACAGTACAATATAATATAATAACAATGTGAATTTATTTAAAATAATTTTTTTAATTATAATAAACTAACAAATATATCATCTGGCAGCTTTACATCTAAATATAATTAGATTATAAATATGTAATAGTTATTTTTTAAAAAAATCTTGTTTAAAAATATTAGTTTTGAATAATTTATAAAATTAATTGATTTAAAAATTATAAAACTGTAATTACGAACAAATCTAATAATTATTTTATATATTTTTTAATGAATTAAATTATTTTAGTTTGAAAAAATATTTTTAATATTATTTAAATTATTATATAAATTTATATATTATTTAATCATTTTTATTGCTTAGATATATATAAATATACTTATAATTAAAATATTAGTTTATAAACTTATAAATATTTAATTATCTAATATTTGTATGTATTTTTCGGTAAAGATTGATCAATTTTAAATTACTAAAATAAATTTACATATACAAATGTTTTATATTTAGTGTTGGTAATTTTTCGCAATTCAATTTTCGATTGCCGCAATTGCGGAAAATTGTTTGAAATTGCTTGAAATTGCGCGCATGAGGGAATGTATAAAAATTAACTTTGACAACGTTAAAAATTTTGTTTACAATAGATTAAGAGAATTTACTAATTTATTATTATTTTTACATGGTTTTTAGATGGCAACATTTTATGATAAAATAATTAAATTTTATATAATTAATTTATGTTTTTATTCATATTGCTTTGCCATTTAAATTTTGTTAATTTTTTAAAAATTATAAATTTTTCTATGTTACAATTGCGATTTTCGCAATCGAGCTTTTTGCAATTGCGGCAATTTCACGCAATTTCCGAGCAATGCAATTACGCATTTTGCAATCGGTACATCACTAATTATATTATTAATTAAATTTAGCTATAATCTTTAAATAAATTAATAAAAATATTAAGATTATTAACATCTAATAATTTATGTTGTTTTAATTTTTTTTTTAAAATATTATTTATAGTTTCAAATAAATTATTTTTTACTAATTAAAATTAACAAAATCATAATAATAAAACATATTAAATATGTTAAATACTAAAGTATTATTATTTAAAAAAAACTAATAACAATAAATAATTTAATAAATTAGTGTACTAAATTTTTTTGTATCTAGGTTTTTTTTGTAATTTTAATATTATGTAAATTTTTTTATTATATAAAAAAACTGTTAAACATTTTATATTCTAAATTTCTAAACACAAATAATTATTTAATTAATTAATAAAAAGCGTAATAATAATTCTCACTAAAAATATCAAAATTAAATAATTTTATTTTTCAATATCTAAATTAAAAGTAATGAAAAAAAATTAAAAAAACTTTAATAACTTTAAACTTAAATAAATACATCATTTTAATAACTATTAAAAGTTTAACATACACTTTAAATATTAATTAATAATATTTAGTTAAACTAGTATATTACACTAGTAAAACTGTATGTAATATATTATAATTTAATTAACTATTCTAATAGTTTATTAATTTAATTTTATGAAGTTATTTTTTTACTAATGTAATTTTTACTTACTTTAAAAATAATAATTATAATATTTTAGAATAATTACAGTAATATATTAAAGTTACAGTTTATATGGTATAAATTATTTTTTTTATTTGAAAACTGTAAAAATTATTATTATTTTATAATAAGTCTATAAATATAAGTTTTAATATATATTTATTAGTTAGGAGCCACAATAGCGTCAAATAAAAACTTTTTATTTAAATGTTTTATAATTAAATTTTTTTTAATTATAAATCTATATTTAAAAAAAAATTTCTCAAAATTTTAATCTAATAAATTTTAATACTAACTTAACAAAAAAATGGGTTAAAACTTTAATATGTTTATTTAGTTATATTTAAAAATAACATAAATTATTAATAATAATACTAAATACAATAAATTAAAATAACTTTTAAAAAAGTAAGTATGTATTTTAATATTATATATAAAATAAAATTTTAAAATTATTTATTTAATTTTTACTTTTTATCATCGTATCATTATAAAACATTTAGTAAAATATAATGTTATTAATATTAAAAATTAATTTATTACAAATTATAATAGTTGATATTTTACAAATAATATTTAATTGTTTTTATTTAAAAAAAAACTAATTTTAAAAATATTGTTTAAAAATATTTCAGTTTTTATAATTATTATTTGTTATTATAAAACTGTAATTAAGCACAAATCCAATAATTACTTTAATTATATTTTTATTGAATTAAATTAATTTAGTGCCAGAAAATCTTAATTTATAAACTTATAAATTTTAAATTATCAAAATATTTGTATGTATTTTACTTTTTTTTTAATTTGAAAGTTTATTACAAAAATATTTTTTACTAATTAAAATTAACAAATTTATAGTAAAATATATATATATAATATAATATAAAGTATGTTTTTTTAAAAAAAATAATAACAATAAATAATTTATTAAATAAGTTTATTATTTATTAATTAGGTTTTTTGTAGTTTAAATATTATGTAAATTTTTAATTATTTATAAAATAAAACTGTAAAACATTTTTTATACTTAATTTTATACACATATAAAATAATTAATAATTATTAATAGATAGATTTATTTATAGGCAAAAAATATTTTTTTAAATAATATCTAAATTTAGTTAAAAAAAATATTGATTAATATCATTAAAATCAATTATGATATAATTAAAATTAAAATAATTTTATAAATTATTATTATAATACATACATATACATAATTATTACATTTTTACATATATATATATATAATGTATTTTATTTTTGTTTTAATAATTTTGTTTACATTTACTAATATTACCTATCCTAGTTAATTTTTCTTACCATGCTCAATTTTATCTATTTTTAATAAATAAATATATATATATATAAACATTATAATTATTACAATTAATTGATTTTTTATTAATAAATATTAATTATTATTTTTTAAAAAACACTAATTTAAACACAAATAATTAGAATTTTTGACTAAAAATTTATAAAATTAAATAATTTTGATTTGATTTTTCAAGTATCTATTTTAAAATTAATAAAAAGTAAATAAAAAAAACTATTAAAAGTTTAACATTAAGTATATTATATTTAGTATGTTATTTACTTTAATAATACATTAGTAATACTGTATCTAATATCTAGTAATATAATTAACTATTAAAATAATTTTATTTTTGATAACATAATAATATATTATTTTCAAATTAAATTTTTTTATTACAAATTTATTTATTGTTATTATTAATTAATTAATTAATAATAATAATTACATCAAAAATATATCAATATATAAATATAATCAAAGAATATAAGCTCATGTATAACAACAACAACAACAAAAAAAGTCATATAAAACATACATATAGTTATCAAAAAAAAAAATTTATTTATTTATACATTAAAAAAATAATTAAAAAAATTTTTTTAGCTAACCTTTCCTCCCATACCTAACCATTTCCTATCAAACAAACAAACATACATTTCCTTTAAAAATTACAAAACATTACAAACAAATATAACAATACATTAATTAATCAATTAATTAGTTAATCAATTAATTAATTAATTAGTTTACGGTAGGCGTGAGGCAGAAACTGGTGAACACTACTACCACTACCCGATTGTTGGCGACCCTTGACTGCAGTAGCAGCCGGTGCTGATGACTGACCCTTAACGGCATCTATACGTACAGATTCGGCTACAGGTGCTCCTCGTTGTTGCTGTTGTTGTTGATGTTTGGCACACTCGCACTGTTGCTGTTGTTGTTGAGGTAATACCGGTGCCGATTGGCTTTCGTCTACCGGTTCTCGTTCATCATCGATATCATCGCCGCTAACCAGTTGTGATGAGGACAGTCGTTGTGGTTGTTGTTGTTGGATAAGCGGTTCATACAGTTGTGGTTCCCATGAAATTTGTTGCGGATCTTCCCGTTGTTGCTGGACTACAGGTGCTGCGGCTAACGGCTGGTATTGGACTACAGGTTGGTGTTGGCGTACTATAGGAACGGTAGGCAATAGAAACTGTTGGTAAAGTTGTTGTTGTGATTGTGGTTGTAGTACTTGTGCTAACAAAATAATAATAGGTTTAGTAATAAGGAACGGTATGCAATAATAGGGACAGTCATATACTGTATATATATATGGATATATACCCTGAGCTAACTGTTGATCAGTTGGATCGCTATCTGTCGATATTTTTTGCTGTTCAACAATATCATCGCTTTCGACCAGACGTTGGACTACCGGTGCTACCGGTGCTACTGGTCGTTGCTGTTGTTGCTGGCCTTCCTCCCGGTGCCTGAAAATTAATGTAAACGGTTGTTGTAGTTGTTGGGGTTGGGGTTGTTGTACTAGTGGTTGAGGAACGGTATCTTCTTTGACCTGTTCTAACCGTTCGACCTGCTGTTGGACAGGTAGTTGTTGTTGTTGTTGGGTTGGTATGTATGCCAGTCTTGAATTGTCAAACGCCGAGAACAGTTGGATCGGCTGATGTGATTGTTGTTCAAAAACCAATGGCCTGTCGGCTGTAGTTGTAGTAGCTGTCTGTACGGGATGTATGAGCTCCAGGAGCTGCTGCTGCTGCTGCTGTTGTTGGGGTTGGGGTTGTGGTTGTGGTACCTGTGCTTTGAGCTGATGGTATTGTTGTTGTAGGAAAAATATGTTGTTATTGGTGGGCACAGTTGGCTGCTGTTGTTGTGTAACTGTAGAGGTGGTGGTTATGGCAGCGGCACCGGCATTAGGGCCATGACCTCCGCGTATAAAATATTGATTGAACAGCGGCTGTACAGTAGGTATACGTTGTTGTTGTTGTTGTTGGACTACCGGTGCGCCCAATAGTGGTGACAGTATTGCTGGATATGCTGTTTGTCGTTGTTGTGGTTGTTGTTGTCTGACTACCGATTTAGTCGGTGCCCGCACTACCGGTGCTGACTCTTCAACTCGTTGTATGTCTAGTTTGGATAATAATAATAATAATATTATTAGTAATTATTTTTTTTAAAAAAATTAAGATTATTAATAAAATTTAAAAATTATTAATTACTTTATTAAATATTGTTTTATTAATAATTAGTTAAATAAAAAAATTATTAAAAAGTTTTTTTTTTAGTTTATATGTATTTAAAATATTTTAAAAATAATTAAAAACATTAACTAAATTAACATCTCAATAAATATTTTAAAAATGTTAATTTATATTAATTAATTATTAATTAATTTCTATTTACAGTTTTTTTAGTAATATAAAAAAAATAAAATGTAAAATCATATTAAATAATTATTTTTTCTTTAAAAAAAATATATTAGAAATTTAATTTTAATTATTATTATTAACTTTAATATATAATTAATATAAATTGATTAATTGATTAATAATTTCAAAAAAAAAATTATTTATTATATATATATATTTAATACAAACCCTGTATACTATTAGGTATGTCCTCCTCTTTCAATTGCGGCTCAAATCTCTGGACACTATTAGCGGTCGGTTCGGCCAACTGTTGTTCCCTCTGTTGTTGAATGGCTACCGAAGCCGGCGGCGGCGGTCTATGAACTATAACACGTTTACGGAAAACATTGGTCAGCGTCGGTGACGGTGGCGGTGGTGGTGGCGGCGATTTGACTACCGGTGCGCTTTCGGCCGGCGATTCGTCGACAATATGGTCGTCATCAGTAATATGCTGTTGGGTTACCGGTGCCGATGATTCTGACGGTTGGCTATCAAATATAGACTCGGTTTCGTATCGTTGGCTATCATCAGATGCTTGAGCTACCGGTGCCGCTACTGCCGCAGGTGGTGCGGCCACTACTCGTTGATAGGCTACCGGTGCCGCTGCTGCTGGAGGTGCGGCGGCAACTACTCGTTGATAAGCTACCGGTGCCGCTGCCGGTGCTAGCGGTCGGAGACTAATACCCGACGGAGTATTTGGCCGATTATTCGGTGCATACGATGCTATCCGTTCGGATGGCTGTCCGCTGAGCTCTATGTTAACATCGGCCGGTGCTCTAGAGTTCAGTCCCTCTTCATTGGACTTAATGGTAGCCTTAATATTATAATTAAAAAAAAATAATTAATTATTAATAATTAAAAAAATTTAATTAATTAATAAATAATTAATAAAAATATTAAGAAATATTTTGACGGCTAATTAGATTAATATTATAAATATATGTTTTTTAAATATAATGTTTTAAAATAATAATTACAGTTTTTTTTTTGAAAAATAATAATAAGTCAATAATATTTTGGGGGGGGGGGGGGGGGGGGGGGGGGGGGGGGGGGGGGGGGGGGGGGGGGGGGGGGGGGGGGGTTATTATTATTTTTTTTATTAATTATTTTAAAATTAATCATAATTAAGTTGATTAAGTTAACATTATTTTAAATTTTAGTTCAATTTATATTTAGATAATTTTTTAAAAGAATAATAACATTTATTATCTAATTCAATAAAAATAAAAATAATTATTATTATTAACTAAAATGTATAGTATTTATTTACAGTTTGATAACATTATTAAAAAAAATTATATTTAATTTTTATCAAAAGAAAAAATAAATAAATAATTTTATATTAAAATTACAAATAATAAAAAACTAATAATAAAAATAAATTTTTTTAATTTTGAATTTTGTTTTCATTTTTTTTGTTGATAAAAATTAGATATAATTTTTTTAAAAATAATTAATTACAGTATATATATATATATATATATATATTATCAAACTGTTAATAAATGCAATATCTTTCAATTAATAATATTAATAATATTTATATCTATTGAATTAGATATAAAATTTTTAAAGATTATTTCATTTAATTAGATTTAAAAAATTAGATTTTTTAAAATAATTTTTTCGTAATAATTAATTAATATATTATTTATAATATATATATATTATAAAACTGTTAATAAATGCAATATCTTTCAATTAATAATATTAATAATATTTATATCTATTGAATTAGATATAAAATTTTTAAAGATTATTTCATTTAATTAGATTTAAAAAATTAGATTTTTTAAAATAATTTTTTCGTAATAATTAATTAATATATTATTTATAATATATATATATTATAAAACTGTTAATAAATGCGATATTTTTTTTTAGTTAATAATATTAATTATTTTGATTTTGATTTAATTAGATTTAAAAAATTAATTTTTTTTTTCTAATAATTCATTAATGAATATAAATCAAAATTACTTACTTTGAAACCGTCTTTACCGGCCGTATAGTCCACCCGTCGGGTCCGGCCGTCGGCATCTTTGATGTTATAAAAGCCGACAATTTCGCCGTTCGCGTCCTGCGATTCCTCCCGCGAGGACGAGGCCCCGGTGTCGGGATCGTCGACAGAGTAGGAAAATTTGTACGGTTCGGGTAGCGGTTCGTGATCTCCCGGATCAGCCTCTCCTCCCGACTCCTCGGGTCGCTGGGGTTGTGGTCGGGATGGCGGCGGCGGTCGTGATGATGGGCGTCGTGTAGGTATGACTGCCGCCACTACATCCCTGTCCTCGTCGACCTCACGGTCCGGTTCCTGAACCTGTATAACATAGAGAGCATATAAATGGGTTAAACAACTCATTGATAATAATAGTTATTATTTTTTTTAATAGGATTTAATAATAATAATAATAATTTAATTTAATTATTAGAAAACTAACTTATAATTTATTTTTAAAAAAGTTATTATTATTATTATTATTATTAGAGAAAGTTAACTAAAAGTTATTTATTATATATTTTTTATAATAAATATTTGTTTTTTGTTTATTTTTTAGTTTTACATAATTTTTTGTTGTTGTTATTATTAATTATTATTGTAATGAAAAATGAGTTTTTTAATACACAATTTTTTTTGTTAATAAATTTATCTTATGTTATAATTTGTGTTGAAAGTTATTTTTATAAACAATTTTAGTTTCCAAAAAAACAATTATCAAATTATATAAATATTAAACTATATTTAACAAAAAAATGTATTAATAGTTTTAATAATAATAATAGTAAATAATACAAATATTTTATGATCTTATTATTATTAAAAACAAAACAAAAATTTTAAAAGTATTTTATATGAATTAAATATGATTTATCTATTGTTATATAAACTTGTTTTCTACTATACATACAAACAAAAATAGTTGTTATCTTAGTTTATATTAAAGTTATATTATATTAATACTGTATTAATATTTAAACACATATTAAGTACACTACAAATATATATATACAGTATATATATATATATATAATAACTAATTCCTGTATATGATATAAATCTTTTTTATTTTCATAAAAATATAGATAAATTTGATTTTCTTGAAAAAACAAGTTTCTCTTTAAAAAAATTAAAAATAAAATCTGTTTAGTTTTAAAATAATAACAAAATTAATTTCTCTCATATGTGTTATCATTTTATTTTAATTTTTTTTGATAAACAAATCGGAAGTTTTTTTTGTTGTTGAATAGTTATAATTGTTAAATAAAATAATAAACTTATTATAAATATTTTTCGGATAATATCTATGTTTAACATATTTTCAACAATTATGGTTTTAATTGTATAGTTAATTAACTATTTATTTAATTATTTAATTACAATCTTATTATTATAAATAAATTTATAAAAAAAATACATTATAACTATATTTCAAAACATATTTCAAATAATTAAATAAAATTATTAAAATTAGATAACTAACTAATAAAATTAGTTAATATGCAATCAATTTATTGATATTTTTAAAAATTATTAAATTTTCATATATTTAAAAAAAACTGTAAAAATATGTCCTAAGTTAAAAAACTTATATTTATAATTTAAATTGTTCAAGTATTATTAGAAATCTAACTTAACCTAATTGTAAATTAATTTTTATTAAAATATAATAAATTAATTAATTAATTAATTAGCAAAAAAATAATATGTATAAATTAAAAACATTATTATTATAATATTTATATATATATAATATCATATATTTTTTTTTAAAAAAAACTGTAAAAATATTTCATAAGTTAAAAAACTCATATATATATAATTTAAATTGTTTAATTATAATTAGAAATATCAAATTAACCAAAATAGAAAATTTATTTTTATATTAATTTAATAAAAATATGTAATTAATTAATTAGCAAATTTTTTAAAAAAATATTAATAATAAATTAATTGTAAATAATAATAATTATTTTTTAATTATTAATTATTTAATATTATTTTTGTTAATTTATTTTACCTGTTGTTGTATATCATCGGATGCTTGGGCTGTCCTATCCCTCAGTGGCCTAAAAGGTGACGACAACCCTGTCTGACGGCCGCCCTTTTGTAGGCCAGTAGTCGACACAACTACCAGTGCCGACAATAGAGATATTAGTAGTAAAAACTGAAAAATTAAATATAATATTGAAGTTAATTATTATAAATAGTTAATAAAAATAATAAATAAATTATTAACTATTAGAAGGAATTGTATAAACATTTCTATACCTTTAATAACATTTTTTTTTAAATTATAAAATAATAATTATTATTATTACTATTAATGACTAAACACTAATAAATATATTAAAAAAATAATACAAACAAAACAAATATTAAAAATTAATTATTTTGTCACAAATTATTATATTTTATTTTATTATAAACCACAAAATTTTAGCAATTTTTTATAAGTAAAAAAAACAAATGTAAATAAAAAATATTACCAACAAAAAATATTAATCAATAATTTTTAAAATAAATGACAATAAATGTTAATAAATAAAATAAATTCAAACACTTATATATATAATGATAGGACAGTTAGACTCAATGATAACTGTGCCCTAACTGTCTCTCTCTATATATATATTAACTAAATAAAATGTTAAAGATTTTTATGGATTAAAGATTGAAAACTAAAAACAATTTTTATTAGTTAAATGCTCTTTAAATAAGAAAAATTTTAACTTCAAAATTATAAAAAAAAATGTTTTGTTATATATATATATATATATATATTGTATATATTATGTTGAATAACAACAACAACACAACAACTTGTATATAAAAAACAGTTATATATTTTTTTTTGGTTAAACCGCTTTCACACACACACATACATACATAGACACACACACATAGACACACACATAGACACATACACACATACACACACACACACACACATACACACACATACACACACACATATAGACATACACATACATACACACACACATACACACACATACATACAGTACAATATAAGGCTCGCACCTAAAAAAAACAGGCGGTGCTATAGATATGTCTATCATTTATTTTGATTTCTCTCTCTCTCTCTCTCTCTCTCTCTCTCTCTCTCTCTCTGTTTGAAATGTTATTACCGTTTTTTTAAAATGCAAACTCAAAAAAAATCTACTAATAAGACACATACCGTTTTTTTTACTTACAGTACTTACTCTCACATAAGCCCACATATGGTGTCAATGTAGTTGAATCTATAAGGCACTGGTAGTTACCTAAAAAAAAATACTAACTAACTTTCCCCCACACTATCATCTCATATAGATATGCATATCATTTCCAGTTTAAAAATTTTATTTTTTATATATGACTGTACTATACATATACTGTATATGTGTTTGTTATCACTGTTACCTTCTAATGGTATTGTCATTCAAAAAAAATAAAATAATAATAATTAGTTAATTTCAAAGATATAGATAATACTTGAATATAAATTATCATATTATATCAATACATACATAATGTATATAAAAAAAATTGTCAAAATTTTTTTTATTTATTTTTTTTATTATTTAATTGACTAGACAATAACAAAAAAAATATAAATCAATATGTATTTACATTATTAAAAAAATAAATACTAATTTATATTGTTATTGTATAAAAAAATAAGATAAAATAATTTGATAACAAATGTGTGATATAATTAATTTTATTTTAATATTATTTTTTGATTTTTTGATTTTTTGATTTTATGTCATTAGGTATTACAAAATATAATTTTTTATATAATAATTTTTTTTATATCTTATATAAACTA